TTGTACTTCGTTCAGTTACGTATTGCTCCTAAGCCTAAGCCTAAGCCTAAGCCTAAGCCTAAGCCTAAGCCTAAGCCTAAGCCTAAGCCTAAGCCTAAGCCTAAGCCTAAGCCTAAGCCTAAGCCTAAGCCTAAGCCTAAGCCTAAGCCTAAGCCTAAGCCTAAGCCTAAGCCTAAGCCTAAGCCTAAGCCTAAGCCTAAGCCTAAGCCTAAGCCTAAGCCTAAGCCTAAGCCTAAGCCTAAGCCTAAGCCTAAGCCTAAGCCTAAGCCTAAGCCTAAGCCTAAGCCTAAGCCTAAGCCTAAGCCTAAGCCTAAGCCTAAGCCTAAGCCTAAGCCTAAGCCTAAGCCTAAGCCTAAGCCTAAGCCTAAGCCTAAGCCTAAGCCTAAGCCTAAGCCTAAGCCTAAGCCTAAGCCTAAGCCTAAGCCTAAGCCTAAGCCTAAGCCTAAGCCTAAGCCTAAGCCTAAGCCTAAGCCTAAGCCTAAGCCTAAGCCTAAGCCTAAGCCTAAGCCTAAGCCTAAGCCTAAGCCTAAGCCTAAGCCTAAGCCTAAGCCTAAGCCTAAGCCTAAGCCTAAGCCTAAGCCTAAGCCTAAGCCTAAGCCTAAGCCTAAGCCTAAGCCTAAGCCTAAGCCTAAGCCTAAGCCTAAGCCTAAGCCTAAGCCTAAGCCTAAGCCTAAGCCTAAGCCTAAGCCTAAGCCTAAGCCTAAGCCTAAGCCTAAGCCTAAGCCTAAGCCTAAGCCTAAGCCTAAGCCTAAGCCTAAGCCTAAGCAAGCTAAGCCTAAGCCTAAGCCTAAGCCTAAGCCTAAGCCTAAGCCTAAGCCTAAGCCTAAGCCTAAGCCTAAGCCTAAGCCTAAGCCTAAGCCTAAGCCTAAGCCTAAGCCTAAGCCTAAGCCTAAGCCTAAGCCTAAGCCTAAGCCTAAGCCTAAGCCTAAGCCTAAGCCTAAGCCTAAGCCTAAGCCTAAGCCTAAGCCTAAGCCTAAGCCTAAGCCTAAGCCTAAGCCTAAGCCTAAGCCTAAGCCTAAGCCTAAGCCTAAGCCTAAGCCTAAGCCTAAGCCTAAGCCTAAGCCTAAGCCTAAGCCTAAGCCTAAGCCTAAGCCTAAGCCTAAGCCTAAGCCTAAGCCTAAGCCTAAGCCTAAGCCTAAGCCTAAGCCTAAGCCTAAGCCTAAGCCTAAGCCTAAGCCTAAGCCTAAGCCTAAGCCTAAGCCTAAGCCTAAGCCTAAGCCTAAGCCTAAGCCTAAGCCTAAGCCTAAGCCTAAGCCTAAGCCTAAGCCTAAGCCTAAGCCTAAGCCTAAGCCTAAGCCTAAGCCTAAGCCTAAGCCTAAGCCTAAGCCTAAGCCTAAGCCTAAGCCTAAGCCTAAGCCTAAGCCTAAGCCTAAGCCTAAGCCTAAGCCTAAGCCTAAGCCTAAGCCTAAGCCTAAGCCTAAGCCTAAGCCTAAGCCTAAGCCTAAGCCTAAGCCTAAGCCTAAGCCTAAGCCTAAGCCTAAGCCTAAGCCTAAGCCTAAGCCTAAGCCTAAGCCTAAGCCTAAGCCTAAGCCTAAGCCTAAGCCTAAGCCTAAGCCTAAGCCTAAGCCTAAGCCTAAGCCTAAGCCTAAGCCTAAGCCTAAGCCTAAGCCTAAGCCTAAGCCTAAGCCTAAGCCTAAGCCTAAGCCTAAGCCTAAGCCTAAGCCTAAGCCTAAGCCTAAGCCTAAGCCTAAGCCTAAGCCTAAGCCTAAGCCTAAGCCTAAGCCTAAGCCTAAGCCTAAGCCTAAGCCTAAGCCTAAGCCTAAGCCTAAGCCTAAGCCTAAGCCTAAGCCTAAGCCTAAGCCTAAGCCTAAGCCTAAGCCTAAGCCTAAGCCTAAGCCTAAGCCTAAGCCTAAGCCTAAGCCTAAGCCTAAGCCTAAGCCTAAGCCTAAGCCTAAGCCTAAGCCTAAGCCTAAGCCTAAGCCTAAGCCTAAGCCTAAGCCTAAGCCTAAGCCTAAGCCTAAGCCTAAGCCTAAGCCTAAGCCTAAGCCTAAGCCTAAGCCTAAGCCTAAGCCTAAGCCTAAGCCTAAGCCTAAGCCTAAGCCTAAGCCTAAGCCTAAGCCTAAGCCTAAGCGCTAAGCCTAAGCCTAAGCCTAAGCCTAAGCCTAAGCCTAAGCCTAAGCCTAAGCCTAAGCCTAAGCCTAAGCCTAAGCCTAAGCCTAAGCCTAAGCCTAAGCCTAAGCCTAAGCCTAAGCCTAAGCCTAAGCCTAAGCCTAAGCCTAAGCCTAAGCCTAAGCCTAAGCCTAAGCCTAAGCCTAAGCCTAAGCCTAAGCCTAAGCCTAAGCCTAAGCCTAAGCCTAAGCCTAAGCCTAAGCCTAAGCCTAAGCCTAAGCCTAAGCCTAAGCCTAAGCCTAAGCCTAAGCCTAAGCCTAAGCCTAAGCCTAAGCCTAAGCCTAAGCCTAAGCCTAAGCCTGCCTAAGCCTAAGCCTAAGCCTAAGCCTAAGCCTAAGCCTAAGCCTAAGCCTAAGCCTAAGCCTAAGCCTAAGCCTAAGCCTAAGCCTAAGCCTAAGCCTAAGCCTAAGCCTAAGCCTAAGCCTAAGCCTAAGCCTAAGCCTAAGCCTAAGCCTAAGCCTAAGCCTAAGCCTAAGCCTAAGCCTAAGCCTAAGCCTAAGCCTAAGCCTAAGCCTAAGCCTAAGCCTAAGCCTAAGCCTAAGCCTAAGCCTAAGCCTAAGCCTAAGCCTAAGCCTAAGCCTAAGCCTAAGCCTAAGCCTAAGCCTAAGCCTAAGCCTAAGCCTAAGCCTAAGCCTAAGCCTAAGCCTAAGCCTAAGCCTAAGCCTAAGCCTAAGCCTAAGCCTAAGCCTAAGCCTAAGCCTAAGCCTAAGCCTAAGCCTAAGCCTAAGCCTAAGCCTAAGCCTAAGCCTAAGCCTAAGCCTAAGCCTAAGCCTAAGCCTAAGCCTAAGCCTAAGCCTAAGCCTAAGCCTAAGCCTAAGCCTAAGCCTAAGCCTAAGCCTAAGCCTAAGCCTAAGCCTAAGCCTAAGCCTAAGCCTAAGCCTAAGCCTAAGCCTAAGCCTAAGCCTAAGCCTAAGCCTAAGCCTAAGCCTAAGCCTAAGCCTAAGCCTAAGCCTAAGCCTAAGCCTAAGCCTAAGCCTAAGCCTAAGCCTAAGCCTAAGCCTAAGCCTAAGCCTAAGCCTAAGCCTAAGCCTAAGCCTAAGCCTAAGCCTAAGCCTAAGCCTAAGCCTAAGCCTAAGCCTAAGCCTAAGCCTAAGCCTAAGCCTAAGCCTAAGCCTAAGCCTAAGCCTAAGCCTAAGCCTAAGCCTAAGCCTAAGCCTAAGCCTAAGCCTAAGCCTAAGCCTAAGCCTAAGCCTAAGCCTAAGCCTAAGCCTAAGCCTAAGCCTAAGCCTAAGCCTAAGCCTAAGCCTAAGCCTAAGCCTAAGCCAGCCTAAGCCTAAGCCTAAGCCTAAGCCTAAGCCTAAGCCTAAGCCTAAGCCTAAGCCTAAGCCTAAGCCTAAGCCTAAGCCTAAGCCTAAGCCTAAGCCTAAGCCTAAGCCTAAGCCTAAGCCTAAGCCTAAGCCTAAGCCTAAGCCTAAGCCTAAGCCTAAGCCTAAGCCTAAGCCTAAGCCTAAGCCTAAGCCTAAGCCTAAGCCTAAGCCTAAGCCTAAGCCTAAGCCTAAGCCTAAGCCTAAGCCTAAGCCTAAGCCTAAGCCTAAGCCTAAGCCTAAGCCTAAGCCTAAGCCTAAGCCTAAGCCTAAGCCTAAGCCTAAGCCTAAGCCTAAGCCTAAGCCTAAGCCTAAGCCTAAGCCTAAGCCTAAGCCTAAGCCTAAGCCTAAGCCTAAGCCTAAGCCTAAGCCTAAGCCTAAGCCTAAGCCTAAGCCTAAGCCTAAGCCTAAGCCTAAGCCTAAGCCTAAGCCTAAGCCTAAGCCTAAGCCTAAGCCTAAGCCTAAGCCTAAGCCTAAGCCTAAGCCTAAGCCTAAGCCTAAGCCTAAGCCTAAGCCTAAGCCTAAGCCTAAGCCTAAGCCTAAGCCTAAGCCTAAGCCTAAGCCTAAGCCTAAGCCTAAGCCTAAGCCTAAGCCTAAGCCTAAGCCTAAGCCTAAGCCTAAGCCTAAGCCTAAGCCTAAGCCTAAGCCTAAGCCTAAGCCTAAGCCTAAGCCTAAGCCTAAGCCTAAGCCTAAGCCTAAGCCTAAGCCTAAGCCTAAGCCTAAGCCTAAGCCTAAGCTAAGCCTAAGCCTAAGCCTAAGCCTAAGCCTAAGCCTAAGCCTAAGCCTAAGCCTAAGCCTAAGCCTAAGCCTAAGCCTAAGCCTAAGCCTAAGCCTAAGCCTAAGCCTAAGCCTAAGCCTAAGCCTAAGCCTAAGCCTAAGCCTAAGCCTAAGCCTAAGCCTAAGCCTAAGCCTAAGCCTAAGCCTAAGCCTAAGCCTAAGCCTAAGCCTAAGCCTAAGCCTAAGCCTAAGCCTAAGCCTAAGCCTAAGCCTAAGCCTAAGCCTAAGCCTAAGCCTAAGCCTAAGCCTAAGCCTAAGCCTAAGCCTAAGCCTAAGCCTAAGCCTAAGCCTAAGCCTAAGCCTAAGCCTAAGCCTAAGCCTAAGCCTAAGCCTAAGCCTAAGCCTAAGCCTAAGCCTAAGCCTAAGCCTAAGCCTAAGCCTAAGCCTAAGCCTAAGCCTAAGCCTAAGCCTAAGCCTAAGCCTAAGCCTAAGCCTAAGCCTAAGCCTAAGCCTAAGCCTAAGCCTAAGCCTAAGCCTAAGCCTAAGCCTAAGCCTAAGCCTAAGCCTAAGCCTAAGCCTAAGCCTAAGCCTAAGCCTAAGCCTAAGCCTAAGCCTAAGCCTAAGCCTAAGCCTAAGCCTAAGCCTAAGCCTAAGCCTAAGCCTAAGCCTAAGCCTAAGCCTAAGCCTAAGCCTAAGCCTAAGCCTAAGCCTAAGCCTAAGCCTAAGCCTAAGCCTAAGCCTAAGCCTAAGCCTAAGCCTAAGCCTAAGCCTAAGCCTAAGCCTAAGCCTAAGCCTAAGCCTAAGCCTAAGCCTAAGCCTAAGCCTAAGCCTAAGCCTAAGCCTAAGCCTAAGCCTAAGCCTAAGCCTAAGCCTAAGCCTAAGCCTAAGCCTAAGCCTAAGCCTAAGCCTAAGCCTAAGCCTAAGCCTAAGCCTAAGCCTAAGCCTAAGCCTAAGCCTAAGCCTAAGCCTAAGCCTAAGCCTAAGCCTAAGCCTAAGCCTAAGCCTAAGCCTAAGCCTAAGCCTAAGCCTAAGCCTAAGCCTAAGCCTAAGCCTAAGCCTAAGCCTAAGCTGGCCTAAGCCTAAGCCTAAGCCTAAGCCTAAGCCTAAGCCTAAGCCTAAGCCTAAGCCTAAGCCTAAGCCTAAGCCTAAGCCTAAGCCTAAGCCTAAGCCTAAGCCTAAGCCTAAGCCTAAGCCTAAGCCTAAGCCTAAGCCTAAGCCTAAGCCTAAGCCTAAGCCTAAGCCTAAGCCTAAGCCTAAGCCTAAGCCTAAGCCTAAGCCTAAGCCTAAGCCTAAGCCTAAGCCTAAGCCTAAGCCTAAGCCTAAGCCTAAGCCTAAGCCTAAGCCTAAGCCTAAGCCTAAGCCTAAGCCTAAGCCTAAGCCTAAGCCTAAGCCTAAGCCTAAGCCTAAGCCTAAGCCTAAGCCTAAGCCTAAGCCTAAGCCTAAGCCTAAGCCTAAGCCTAAGCCTAAGCCTAAGCCTAAGCCTAAGCCTAAGCCTAAGCCTAAGCCTAAGCCTAAGCCTAAGCCTAAGCCTAAGCCTAAGCCTAAGCCTAAGCCTAAGCCTAAGCCTAAGCCTAAGCCTAAGCCTAAGCCTAAGCCTAAGCCTAAGCCTAAGCCTAAGCCTAAGCCTAAGCCTAAGCCTAAGCCTAAGCCTAAGCCTAAGCCTAAGCCTAAGCCTAAGCCTAAGCCTAAGCCTAAGCCTAAGCCTAAGCCTAAGCCTAAGCCTAAGCCTAAGCCTAAGCCTAAGCCTAAGCCTAAGCCTAAGCCTAAGCCTAAGCCTAAGCCTAAGCCTAAGCCTAAGCCTAAGCCTAAGCCTAAGCCTAAGCCTAAGCCTAAGCCTAAGCCTAAGCCTAAGCCTAAGCCTAAGCCTAAGCCTAAGCCTAAGCCTAAGCCTAAGCCTAAGCCTAAGCCTAAGCCTAAGCCTAAGCCTAAGCCTAAGCCTAAGCCTAAGCCTAAGCCTAAGCCTAAGCCTAAGCCTAAGCCTAAGCCTAAGCCTAAGCCTAAGCCTAAGCCTAAGCCTAAGCCTAAGCCTAAGCCTAAGCCTAAGCCTAAGCCTAAGCCTAAGCCTAAGCCTAAGCCTAAGCCTAAGCCTAAGCCTAAGCCTAAGCCTAAGCCTAAGCCTAAGCCTAAGCCTAAGCCTAAGCCTAAGCCTAAGCCTAAGCCTAAGCCTAAGCCTAAGCCTAAGCCTAAGCCTAAGCCTAAGCCTAAGCCTAAGCCTAAGCCTAAGCCTAAGCCTAAGCCTAAGCCTAAGCCTAAGCCTAAGCCTAAGCCTAAGCCTAAGCCTAAGCCTAAGCCTAAGCCTAAGCCTAAGCCTAAGCCTAAGCCTAAGCCTAAGCCTAAGCCTAAGCCTAAGCCTAAGCCTAAGCCTAAGCCTAAGCCTAAGCCTAAGCCTAAGCCTAAGCCTAAGCCTAAGCCTAAGCCTAAGCCTAAGCCTAAGCCTAAGCCTAAGCCTAAGCCTAAGCCTAAGCCTAAGCCTAAGCCTAAGCCTAAGCCTAAGCCTAAGCCTAAGCCTAAGCCTAAGCCTAAGCCTAAGCCTAAGCCTAAGCCTAAGCCTAAGCCTAAGCCTAAGCCTAAGCCTAAGCCTAAGCCTAAGCCTAAGCCTAAGCCTAAGCCTAAGCCTAAGCCTAAGCCTAAGCCTAAGCCTAAGCCTAAGCCTAAGCCTAAGCCTAAGCCTAAGCCTAAGCCTAAGCCTAAGCCTAAGCCTAAGCCTAAGCCTAAGCCTAAGCCTGCCTAAGCCTAAGCCTAAGCCTAAGCCTAAGCCTAAGCCTAAGCCTAAGCCTAAGCCTAAGCCTAAGCCTAAGCCTAAGCCTAAGCCTAAGCCTAAGCCTAAGCCTAAGCCTAAGCCTAAGCCTAAGCCTAAGCCTAAGCCTAAGCCTAAGCCTAAGCCTAAGCCTAAGCCTAAGCCTAAGCCTAAGCCTAAGCCTAAGCCTAAGCCTAAGCCTAAGCCTAAGCCTAAGCCTAAGCCTAAGCCTAAGCCTAAGCCTAAGCCTAAGCCTAAGCCTAAGCCTAAGCTAAGCGCCTAAGCCTAAGCCTAAGCCTGGTGCCTAAGCCTAAGCCAGCCTAAGCCTAAGCCTAAGCCTAAGCCTAAGCCTAAGCCTAAGCCTAAGCCTAAGCCTAAGCCTAAGCCTAAGCCTAAGCCTAAGCCTAAGCCTAAGCCTAAGCCTAAGCCTAAGCCTAAGCCTAAGCCTAAGCCTAAGCCTAAGCCTAAGCCTAAGCCTAAGCCTAAGCCTAAGCCTAAGCCTAAGCCTAAGCCTAAGCCTAAGCCTAATAAGCCTAAGCCTAAGCCTAAGCCTAAGCCTAAGCCTAAGCCTAAGCCTAAGCCTAAGCCTAAGCCTAAGCCTAAGCCTAAGCCTAAGCCTAAGCCTAAGCCTAAGCCTAAGCCTAAGCCTAAGCCTAAGCCTAAGCCTAAGCCTAAGCCTAAGCCTAAGCCTAAGCCTAAGCCTAAGCCTAAGCCTAAGCCTAAGCCTAAGCCTAAGCCTAAGCCTAAGCCTAAGCCTAAGCCTAAGCCTAAGCCTAAGCCTAAGCCTAAGCCTAAGCCTAAGCCTAAGCCTAAGCCTAAGCCTAAGCCTAAGCCTAAGCCTAAGCCTAAGCCTAAGCCTAAGCCTAAGCCTAAGCCTAAGCCTAAGCCTAAGCCTAAGCCTAAGCCTAAGCCTAAGCCTAAGCCTAAGCCTAAGCCTAAGCCTAAGCCTAAGCCTAAGCCTAAGCCTAAGCCTAAGCCTAAGCCTAAGCCTAAGCCTAAGCCTAAGCCTAAGCCTAAGCCTAAGCCTAAGCCTAAGCCTAAGCCTAAGCCTAAGCCTAAGCCTAAGCCTAAGCCTAAGCCTAAGCCTAAGCCTAAGCCTAAGCCTAAGCCTAAGCCTAAGCCTAAGCCTAAGCCTAAGCCTAAGCCTAAGCCTAAGCCTAAGCCTAAGCCTAAGCCTAAGCCTAAGCCTAAGCCTAAGCCTAAGCCTAAGCCTAAGCCTAAGCCTAAGCCTAAGCCTAAGCCTAAGCCTAAGCCTAAGCCTAAGCCTAAGCCTAAGCCTAAGCCTAAGCCTAAGCCTAAGCCTAAGCCTAAGCCTAAGCCTAAGCCTAAGCCTAAGCCTAAGCCTAAGCCTAAGCCTAAGCCTAAGCCTAAGCCTAAGCCTAAGCCTAAGCCTAAGCCTAAGCCTAAGCCTAAGCCTAAGCCTAAGCCTAAGCCTAAGCCTAAGCCTAAGCCTAAGCCTAAGCCTAAGCCTAAGCCTAAGCCTAAGCCTAAGCCTAAGCCTAAGCCTAAGCCTAAGCCTAAGCCTAAGCCTAAGCCTAAGCCTAAGCCTAAGCCTAAGCCTAAGCCTAAGCCTAAGCCTAAGCCTAAGCCTAAGCCTAAGCCTAAGCCTAAGCCTAAGCCTAAGCCTAAGCCTAAGCCTAAGCCTAAGCCTAAGCCTAAGCCTAAGCCTAAGCCTAAGCCTAAGCCTAAGCCTAAGCCTAAGCCTAAGCCTAAGCCTAAGCCTAAGCCTAAGCCTAAGCCTAAGCCTAAGCCTAAGCCTAAGCCTAAGCCTAAGCCTAAGCCTAAGCCTAAGCCTAAGCCTAAGCCTAAGCCTAAGCCTAAGCCTAAGCCTAAGCCTAAGCCTAAGCCTAAGCCTAAGCCTAAGCCTAAGCCTAAGCCTAAGCCTAAGCCTAAGCCTAAGCCTAAGCCTAAGCCTAAGCCTAAGCCCTAAGCCTAAGCCTAAGCCTAAGCCTAAGCCTAAGCCTAAGCCTAAGCCTAAGCCTAAGCCTAAGCCTAAGCCTAAGCCTAAGCCTAAGCCTAAGCCTAAGCCTAAGCCTAAGCCTAAGCCTAAGCCTAAGCCTAAGCCTAAGCCTAAGCCTAAGCCTAAGCCTAAGCCTAAGCCTAAGCCTAAGCCTAAGCCTAAGCCTAAGCCTAAGCCTAAGCCTAAGCCTAAGCCTAAGCCTAAGCCTAAGCCTAAGCCTAAGCCTAAGCCTAAGCCTAAGCCTAAGCCTAAGCCTAAGCCTAAGCCTAAGCCTAAGCCTAAGCCTAAGCCTAAGCCTAAGCCTAAGCCTAAGCCTAAGCCTAAGCCTAAGCCTAAGCCTAAGCCTAAGCCTAAGCCTAAGCCTAAGCCTAAGCCTAAGCCTAAGCCTAAGCCTAAGCCTAAGCCTAAGCCTAAGCCTAAGCCTAAGCCTAAGCCTAAGCCTAAGCCTAAGCCTAAGCCTAAGCCTAAGCCTAAGCCTAAGCCTAAGCCTAAGCCTAAGCCTAAGCCTAAGCCTAAGCCTAAGCCTAAGCCTAAGCCTAAGCCTAAGCCTAAGCCTAAGCCTAAGCCTAAGCCTAAGCCTAAGCCTAAGCCTAAGCCTAAGCCTAAGCCTAAGCCTAAGCCTAAGCCTAAGCCTAAGCCTAAGCCTAAGCCTAAGCCTAAGCCTAAGCCTAAGCCTAAGCCTAAGCCTAAGCCTAAGCCTAAGCCTAAGCCTAAGCCTAAGCCTAAGCCTAAGCCTAAGCCTAAGCCTAAGCCTAAGCCTAAGCCTAAGCCTAAGCCTAAGCCTAAGCCTAAGCCTAAGCCTAAGCCTAAGCCTAAGCCTAAGCCTAAGCCTAAGCCTAAGCCTAAGCCTAAGCCTAAGCCTAAGCCTAAGCCTAAGCCTAAGCCTAAGCCTAAGCCTAAGCCTAAGCCTAAGCCTAAGCCTAAGCCTAAGCCTAAGCCTAAGCCTAAGCCTAAGCCTAAGCCTAAGCCTAAGCCTAAGCCTAAGCCTAAGCCTAAGCCTAAGCCTAAGCCTAAGCCTAAGCCTAAGCCTAAGCCTAAGCCTAAGCCTAAGCCTAAGCCTAAGCCTAAGCCTAAGCCTAAGCCTAAGCCTAAGCCTAAGCCTAAGCCTAAGCCTAAGCCTAAGCCTAAGCCTAAGCCTAAGCCTAAGCCTAAGCCTAAGCCTAAGCCTAAGCCTAAGCCTAAGCCTAAGCCTAAGCCTAAGCCTAAGCCTAAGCCTAAGCCTAAGCCTAAGCCTAAGCCTAAGCCTAAGCCTAAGCCTAAGCCTAAGCCTAAGCCTAAGCCTAAGCCTAAGCCTAAGCCTAAGCCTAAGCCTAAGCCTAAGCCTAAGCCTAAGCCTAAGCCTAAGCCTAAGCCTAAGCCTAAGCCTAAGCCTAAGCCTAAGCCTAAGCCTAAGCCTAAGCCTAAGCCTAAGCCTAAGCCTAAGCCTAAGCCTAAGCCTAAGCCTAAGCCTAAGCCTAAGCCTAAGCCTAAGCCTAAGCCTAAGCCTAAGCCTAAGCCTAAGCCTAAGCCTAAGCCTAAGCCTAAGCCTAAGCCTAAGCCTAAGCCTAAGCCTAAGCCTAAGCCTAAGCCTAAGCCTAAGCCTAAGCCTAAGCCTAAGCCTAAGCCTAAGCCTAAGCCTAAGCCTAAGCCTAAGCCTAAGCCTAAGCCTAAGCCTAAGCCTAAGCCTAAGCCTAAGCCTAAGCCTAAGCCTAAGCCTAAGCCTAAGCCTAAGCCTAAGCCTAAGCCTAAGCCTAAGCCTAAGCCTAAGCCTAAGCCTAAGCCTAAGCCTAAGCCTAAGCCTAAGCCTAAGCCTAAGCCTAAGCCTAAGCCTAAGCCTAAGCCTAAGCCTAAGCCTAAGCCTAAGCCTAAGCCTAAGCCTAAGCCTAAGCCTAAGCCTAAGCCTAAGCCTAAGCCTAAGCCTAAGCCTAAGCCTAAGCCTAAGCCTAAGCCTAAGCCTAAGCCTAAGCCTAAGCCTAAGCCTAAGCCTAAGCCTAAGCCTAAGCCTAAGCCTAAGCCTAAGCCTAAGCCTAAGCCTAAGCCTAAGCCTAAGCCTAAGCCTAAGCCTAAGCCTAAGCCTAAGCCTAAGCCTAAGCCTAAGCCTAAGCCTAAGCCTAAGCCTAAGCCTAAGCCTAAGCCTAAGCCTAAGCCTAAGCCTAAGCCTAAGCCTAAGCCTAAGCCTAAGCCTAAGCCTAAGCCTAAGCCTAAGCCTAAGCCTAAGCCTAAGCCTAAGCCTAAGCCTAAGCCTAAGCCTAAGCCTAAGCCTAAGCCTAAGCCTAAGCCTAAGCCTAAGCCTAAGCCTAAGCCTAAGCCTAAGCCTAAGCCTAAGCCTAAGCCTAAGCCTAAGCCTAAGCCTAAGCCTAAGCCTAAGCCTAAGCCTAAGCCTAAGCCTAAGCCTAAGCCTAAGCCTAAGCCTAAGCCTAAGCCTAAGCCTAAGCCTAAGCCTAAGCCTAAGCCTAAGCCTAAGCCTAAGCCTAAGCCTAAGCCTAAGCCTAAGCCTAAGCCTAAGCCTAAGCCTAAGCCTAAGCCTAAGCCTAAGCCTAAGCCTAAGCCTAAGCCTAAGCCTAAGCCTAAGCCTAAGCCTAAGCCTAAGCCTAAGCCTAAGCCTAAGCCTAAGCCTAAGCCTAAGCCTAAGCCTAAGCCTAAGCCTAAGCCTAAGCCTAAGCCTAAGCCTAAGCCTAAGCCTAAGCCTAAGCCTAAGCCTAAGCCTAAGCCTAAGCCTAAGCCTAAGCCTAAGCCTAAGCCTAAGCCTAAGCCTAAGCCTAAGCCTAAGCCTAAGCCTAAGCCTAAGCCTAAGCCTAAGCCTAAGCCTAAGCCTAAGCCTAAGCCTAAGCCTAAGCCTAAGCCTAAGCCTAAGCCTAAGCCTAAGCCTAAGCCTAAGCCTAAGCCTAAGCCTAAGCCTAAGCCTAAGCCTAAGCCTAAGCCTAAGCCTAAGCCTAAGCCTAAGCCTAAGCCTAAGCCTAAGCCTAAGCCTAAGCCTAAGCCTAAGCCTAAGCCTAAGCCTAAGCCTAAGCCTAAGCCTAAGCCTAAGCCTAAGCCTAAGCCTAAGCCTAAGCCTAAGCCTAAGCCTAAGCCTAAGCCTAAGCCTAAGCCTAAGCCTAAGCCTAAGCCTAAGCCTAAGCCTAAGCCTAAGCCTAAGCCTAAGCCTAAGCCTAAGCCTAAGCCTAAGCCTAAGCCTAAGCCTAAGCCTAAGCCTAAGCCTAAGCCTAAGCCTAAGCCTAAGCCTAAGCCTAAGCCTAAGCCTAAGCCTAAGCCTAAGCCTAAGCCTAAGCCTAAGCCTAAGCCTAAGCCTAAGCCTAAGCCTAAGCCTAAGCCTAAGCCTAAGCCTAAGCCTAAGCCTAAGCCTAAGCCTAAGCCTAAGCCTAAGCCTAAGCCTAAGCCTAAGCCTAAGCCTAAGCCTAAGCCTAAGCCTAAGCCTAAGCCTAAGCCTAAGCCTAAGCCTAAGCCTAAGCCTAAGCCTAAGCCTAAGCCTAAGCCTAAGCCTAAGCCTAAGCCTAAGCCTAAGCCTAAGCCTAAGCCTAAGCCTAAGCCTAAGCCTAAGCCTAAGCCTAAGCCTAAGCCTAAGCCTAAGCCTAAGCCTAAGCCTAAGCCTAAGCCTAAGCCTAAGCCTAAGCCTAAGCCTAAGCCTAAGCCTAAGCCTAAGCCTAAGCCTAAGCCTAAGCCTAAGCCTAAGCCTAAGCCTAAGCCTAAGCCTAAGCCTAAGCCTAAGCCTAAGCCTAAGCCTAAGCCTAAGCCTAAGCCTAAGCCTAAGCCTAAGCCTAAGCCTAAGCCTAAGCCTAAGCCTAAGCCTAAGCCTAAGCCTAAGCCTAAGCCTAAGCCTAAGCCTAAGCCTAAGCCTAAGCCTAAGCCTAAGCCTAAGCCTAAGCCTAAGCCTAAGCCTAAGCCTAAGCCTAAGCCTAAGCCTAAGCCTAAGCCTAAGCCTAAGCCTAAGCCTAAGCCTAAGCCTAAGCCTAAGCCTAAGCCTAAGCCTAAGCCTAAGCCTAAGCCTAAGCCTAAGCCTAAGCCTAAGCCTAAGCCTAAGCCTAAGCCTAAGCCTAAGCCTAAGCCTAAGCCTAAGCCTAAGCCTAAGCCTAAGCCTAAGCCTAAGCCTAAGCCTAAGCCTAAGCCTAAGCCTAAGCCTAAGCCTAAGCCTAAGCCTAAGCCTAAGCCTAAGCCTAAGCCTAAGCCTAAGCCTAAGCCTAAGCCTAAGCCTAAGCCTAAGCCTAAGCCTAAGCCTAAGCCTAAGCCTAAGCCTAAGCCTAAGCCTAAGCCTAAGCCTAAGCCTAAGCCTAAGCCTAAGCCTAAGCCTAAGCCTAAGCCTAAGCCTAAGCCTAAGCCTAAGCCTAAGCCTAAGCCTAAGCCTAAGCCTAAGCCTAAGCCTAAGCCTAAGCCTAAGCCTAAGCCTAAGCCTAAGCCTAAGCCTAAGCCTAAGCCTAAGCCTAAGCCTAAGCCTAAGCCTAAGCCTAAGCCTAAGCCTAAGCCTAAGCCTAAGCCTAAGCCTAAGCCTAAGCCTAAGCCTAAGCCTAAGCCTAAGCCTAAGCCTAAGCCTAAGCCTAAGCCTAAGCCTAGCCTAGCCTAAGCCTAAGCCTAAGCCTAAGCCTAAGCCTAAGCCTAAGCCTAAGCCTAAGCCTAAGCCTAAGCCTAAGCCTAAGCCTAAGCCTAAGCCTAAGCCTAAGCCTAAGCCTAAGCCTAAGCCTAAGCCTAAGCCTAAGCCTAAGCCTAAGCCTAAGCCTAAGCCTAAGCCTAAGCCTAAGCCTAAGCCTAAGCCTAAGCCTAAGCCTAAGCCTAAGCCTAAGCCTAAGCCTAAGCCTAAGCCTAAGCCTAAGCCTAAGCCTAAGCCTAAGCCTAAGCCTAAGCCTAAGCCTAAGCCTAAGCCTAAGCCTAAGCCTAAGCCTAAGCCTAAGCCTAAGCCTAAGCCTAAGCCTAAGCCTAAGCCTAAGCCTAAGCCTAAGCCTAAGCCTAAGCCTAAGCCTAAGCCTAAGCCTAAGCCTAAGCCTAAGCCTAAGCCTAAGCCTAAGCCTAAGCCTAAGCCTAAGCCTAAGCCTAAGCCTAAGCCTAAGCCTAAGCCTAAGCCTAAGCCTAAGCCTAAGCCTAAGCCTAAGCCTAAGCCTAAGCCTAAGCCTAAGCCTAAGCCTAAGCCTAAGCCTAAGCCTAAGCCTAAGCCTAAGCCTAAGCCTAAGCCTAAGCCTAAGCCTAAGCCTAAGCCTAAGCCTAAGCCTAAGCCTAAGCCTAAGCCTAAGCCTAAGCCTAAGCCTAAGCCTAAGCCTAAGCCTAAGCCTAAGCCTAAGCCTAAGCCTAAGCCTAAGCCTAAGCCTAAGCCTAAGCCTAAGCCTAAGCCTAAGCCTAAGCCTAAGCCTAAGCCTAAGCCTAAGCCTAAGCCTAAGCCTAGCCTAAGCCTAAGCCTAAGCCTAAGCCTAAGCCTAAGCCTAAGCCTAAGCCTAAGCCTAAGCCTAAGCCTAAGCCTAAGCCTAAGCCTAAGCCTAAGCCTAAGCCTAAGCCTAGCCTAGCCTAAGCCTAAGCCTAAGCCTAAGCCTAAGCCTAAGCCTAAGCCTAAGCCTAAGCCTAAGCCTAAGCCTAAGCCTAAGCCTAAGCCTAAGCCTAAGCCTAAGCCTAAGCCTAAGCCTAAGCCTAAGCCTAAGCCTAAGCCTAAGCCTAAGCCTAAGCCTAAGCCTAAGCCTAAGCCTAAGCCTAAGCCTAAGCCTAAGCCTAAGCCTAAGCCTAAGCCTAAGCCTAAGCCTAAGCCTAAGCCTAAGCCTAAGCCTAAGCCTAAGCCTAAGCCTAAGCCTAAGCCTAAGCCTAAGCCTAAGCCTAAGCCTAAGCCTAAGCCTAAGCCTAAGCCTAAGCCTAAGCCTAAGCCTAAGCCTAAGCCTAAGCCTAAGCCTAAGCCTAAGCCTAAGCCTAAGCCTAAGCCTAAGCCTAAGCCTAAGCCTAAGCCTAAGCCTAAGCCTAAGCCTAAGCCTAAGCCTAAGCCTAAGCCTAAGCCTAAGCCTAAGCCTAAGCCTAAGCCTAAGCCTAAGCCTAAGCCTAAGCCTAAGCCTAAGCCTAAGCCTAAGCCTAAGCCTAAGCCTAAGCCTAAGCCTAAGCCTAAGCCTAAGCCTAAGCCTAAGCCTAAGCCTAAGCCTAAGCCTAAGCCTAAGCCTAAGCCTAAGCCTAAGCCTAAGCCTAAGCCTAAGCCTAAGCCTAAGCCTAAGCCTAAGCCTAAGCCTAAGCCTAAGCCTAAGCCTAAGCCTAAGCCTAAGCCTAAGCCTAAGCCTAAGCCTAAGCCTAAGCCTAAGCCTAAGCCTAAGCCTAAGCCTAAGCCTAAGCCTAAGCCTAAGCCTAAGCCTAAGCCTAAGCCTAAGCCTAAGCCTAAGCCTAAGCCTAAGCCTAAGCCTAAGCCTAAGCCTAAGCCTAAGCCTAAGCCTAAGCCTAAGCCTAAGCCTAAGCCTAAGCCTAAGCCTAAGCCTAAGCCTAAGCCTAAGCCTAAGCCTAAGCCTAAGCCTAAGCCTAAGCCTAAGCCTAAGCCTAAGCCTAAGCCTAAGCCTAAGCCTAAGCCTAAGCCTAAGCCTAAGCCTAAGCCTAAGCCTAAGCCTAAGCCTAAGCCTAAGCCTAAGCCTAAGCCTAAGCCTAAGCCTAAGCCTAAGCCTAAGCCTAAGCCTAAGCCTAAGCCTAAGCCTAAGCCTAAGCCTAAGCCTAAGCCTAAGCCTAAGCCTAAGCCTAAGCCTAAGCCTAAGCCTAAGCCTAAGCCTAAGCCTAAGCCTAAGCCTAAGCCTAAGCCTAAGCCTAAGCCTAAGCCTAAGCCTAAGCCTAAGCCTAAGCCTAAGCCTAAGCCTAAGCCTAAGCCTAAGCCTAAGCCTAAGCCTAAGCCTAAGCCTAAGCCTAAGCCTAAGCCTAAGCCTAAGCCTAAGCCTAAGCCTAAGCCTAAGCCTAAGCCTAAGCCTAAGCCTAAGCCTAAGCCTAAGCCTAAGCCTAAGCCTAAGCCTAAGCCTAAGCCTAAGCCTAAGCCTAAGCCTAAGCCTAAGCCTAAGCCTAAGCCTAAGCCTAAGCCTAAGCCTAAGCCTAAGCCTAAGCCTAAGCCTAAGCCTAAGCCTAAGCCTAAGCCTAAGCCTAAGCCTAAGCCTAAGCCTAAGCCTAAGCCTAAGCCTAAGCCTAAGCCTAAGCCTAAGCCTAAGCCTAAGCCTAAGCCTAAGCCTAAGCCTAAGCCTAAGCCTAAGCCTAAGCCTAAGCCTAAGCCTAAGCCTAAGCCTAAGCCTAAGCCTAAGCCTAAGCCTAAGCCTAAGCCTAAGCCTAAGCCTAAGCCTAAGCCTAAGCCTAAGCCTAAGCCTAAGCCTAAGCCTAAGCCTAAGCCTAAGCCTAAGCCTAAGCCTAAGCCTAAGCCTAAGCCTAAGCCTAAGCCTAAGCCTAAGCCTAAGCCTAAGCCTAAGCCTAAGCCTAAGCCTAAGCCTAAGCCTAAGCCTAAGCCTAAGCCTAAGCCTAAGCCTAAGCCTAAGCCTAAGCCTAAGCCTAAGCCTAAGCCTAAGCCTAAGCCTAAGCCTAAGCCTAAGCCTAAGCCTAAGCCTAAGCCTAAGCCTAAGCCTAAGCCTAAGCCTAAGCCTAAGCCTAAGCCTAAGCCTAAGCCTAAGCCTAAGCCTAAGCCTAAGCCTAAGCCTAAGCCTAAGCCTAAGCCTAAGCCTAAGCCTAAGCCTAAGCCTAAGCCTAAGCCTAAGCCTAAGCCTAAGCCTAAGCCTAAGCCTAAGCCTAAGCCTAAGCCTAAGCCTAAGCCTAAGCCTAAGCCTAAGCCTAAGCCTAAGCCTAAGCCTAAGCCTAAGCCTAAGCCTAAGCCTAAGCCTAAGCCTAAGCCTAAGCCTAAGCCTAAGCCTAAGCCTAAGCCTAAGCCTAAGCCTAAGCCTAAGCCTAAGCCTAAGCCTAAGCCTAAGCCTAAGCCTAAGCCTAAGCCTAAGCCTAAGCCTAAGCCTAAGCCTAAGCCTAAGCCTAAGCCTAAGCCTAAGCCTAAGCCTAAGCCTAAGCCTAAGCCTAAGCCTAAGCCTAAGCCTAAGCCTAAGCCTAAGCCTAAGCCTAAGCCTAAGCCTAAGCCTAAGCCTAAGCCTAAGCCTAAGCCTAAGCCTAAGCCTAAGCCTAAGCCTAAGCCTAAGCCTAAGCCTAAGCCTAAGCCTAAGCCTAAGCCTAAGCCTAAGCCTAAGCCTAAGCCTAAGCCTAAGCCTAAGCCTAAGCCTAAGCCTAAGCCTAAGCCTAAGCCTAAGCCTAAGCCTAAGCCTAAGCCTAAGCCTAAGCCTAAGCCTAAGCCTAAGCCTAAGCCTAAGCCTAAGCCTAAGCCTAAGCCTAAGCCTAAGCCTAAGCCTAAGCCTAAGCCTAAGCCTAAGCCTAAGCCTAAGCCTAAGCCTAAGCCTAAGCCTAAGCCTAAGCCTAAGCCTAAGCCTAAGCCTAAGCCTAAGCCTAAGCCTAAGCCTAAGCCTAAGCCTAAGCCTAAGCCTAAGCCTAAGCCTAAGCCTAAGCCTAAGCCTAAGCCTAAGCCTAAGCCTAAGCCTAAGCCTAAGCCTAAGCCTAAGCCTAAGCCTAAGCCTAAGCCTAAGCCTAAGCCTAAGCCTAAGCCTAAGCCTAAGCCTAAGCCTAAGCCTAAGCCTAAGCCTAAGCCTAAGCCTAAGCCTAAGCCTAAGCCTAAGCCTAAGCCTAAGCCTAAGCCTAAGCCTAAGCCTAAGCCTAAGCCTAAGCCTAAGCCTAAGCCTAAGCCTAAGCCTAAGCCTAAGCCTAAGCCTAAGCCTAAGCCTAAGCCTAAGCCTAAGCCTAAGCCTAAGCCTAAGCCTAAGCCTAAGCCTAAGCCTAAGCCTAAGCCTAAGCCTAAGCCTAAGCCTAAGCCTAAGCCTAAGCCTAAGCCTAAGCCTAAGCCTAAGCCTAAGCCTAAGCCTAAGCCTAAGCCTAAGCCTAAGCCTAAGCCTAAGCCTAAGCCTAAGCCTAAGCCTAAGCCTAAGCCTAAGCCTAAGCCTAAGCCTAAGCCTAAGCCTAAGCCTAAGCCTAAGCCTAAGCCTAAGCCTAAGCCTAAGCCTAAGCCTAAGCCTAAGCCTAAGCCTAAGCCTAAGCCTAAGCCTAAGCCTAAGCCTAAGCCTAAGCCTAAGCCTAAGCCTAAGCCTAAGCCTAAGCCTAAGCCTAAGCCTAAGCCTAAGCCTAAGCCTAAGCCTAAGCCTAAGCCTAAGCCTAAGCCTAAGCCTAAGCCTAAGCCTAAGCCTAAGCCTAAGCCTAAGCCTAAGCCTAAGCCTAAGCCTAAGCCTAAGCCTAAGCCTAAGCCTAAGCCTAAGCCTAAGCCTAAGCCTAAGCCTAAGCCTAAGCCTAAGCCTAAGCCTAAGCCTAAGCCTAAGCCTAAGCCTAAGCCTAAGCCTAAGCCTAAGCCTAAGCCTAAGCCTAAGCCTAAGCCTAAGCCTAAGCCTAAGCCTAAGCCTAAGCCTAAGCCTAAGCCTAAGCCTAAGCCTAAGCCTAAGCCTAAGCCTAAGCCTAAGCCTAAGCCTAAGCCTAAGCCTAAGCCTAAGCCTAAGCCTAAGCCTAAGCCTAAGCCTAAGCCTAAGCCTAAGCCTAAGCCTAAGCCTAAGCCTAAGCCTAAGCCTAAGCCTAAGCCTAAGCCTAAGCCTAAGCCTAAGCCTAAGCCTAAGCCTAAGCCTAAGCCTAAGCCTAAGCCTAAGCCTAAGCCTAAGCCTAAGCCTAAGCCTAAGCCTAAGCCTAAGCCTAAGCCTAAGCCTAAGCCTAAGCCTAAGCCTAAGCCTAAGCCTAAGCCTAAGCCTAAGCCTAAGCCTAAGCCTAAGCCTAAGCCTAAGCCTAAGCCTAAGCCTAAGCCTAAGCCTAAGCCTAAGCCTAAGCCTAAGCCTAAGCCTAAGCCTAAGCCTAAGCCTAAGCCTAAGCCTAAGCCTAAGCCTAAGCCTAAGCCTAAGCCTAAGCCTAAGCCTAAGCCTAAGCCTAAGCCTAAGCCTAAGCCTAAGCCTAAGCCTAAGCCTAAGCCTAAGCCTAAGCCTAAGCCTAAGCCTAAGCCTAAGCCTAAGCCTAAGCCTAAGCCTAAGCCTAAGCCTAAGCCTAAGCCTAAGCCTAAGCCTAAGCCTAAGCCTAAGCCTAAGCCTAAGCCTAAGCCTAAGCCTAAGCCTAAGCCTAAGCCTAAGCCTAAGCCTAAGCCTAAGCCTAAGCCTAAGCCTAAGCCTAAGCCTAAGCCTAAGCCTAAGCCTAAGCCTAAGCCTAAGCCTAAGCCTAAGCCTAAGCCTAAGCCTAAGCCTAAGCCTAAGCCTAAGCCTAAGCCTAAGCCTAAGCCTAAGCCTAAGCCTAAGCCTAAGCCTAAGCCTAAGCCTAAGCCTAAGCCTAAGCCTAAGCCTAAGCCTAAGCCTAAGCCTAAGCCTAAGCCTAAGCCTAAGCCTAAGCCTAAGCCTAAGCCTAAGCCTAAGCCTAAGCCTAAGCCTAAGCCTAAGCCTAAGCCTAAGCCTAAGCCTAAGCCTAAGCCTAAGCCTAAGCCTAAGCCTAAGCCTAAGCCTAAGCCTAAGCCTAAGCCTAAGCCTAAGCCTAAGCCTAAGCCTAAGCCTAAGCCTAAGCCTAAGCCTAAGCCTAAGCCTAAGCCTAAGCCTAAGCCTAAGCCTAAGCCTAAGCCTAAGCCTAAGCCTAAGCCTAAGCCTAAGCCTAAGCCTAAGCCTAAGCCTAAGCCTAAGCCTAAGCCTAAGCCTAAGCCTAAGCCTAAGCCTAAGCCTAAGCCTAAGCCTAAGCCTAAGCCTAAGCCTAAGCCTAAGCCTAAGCCTAAGCCTAAGCCTAAGCCTAAGCCTAAGCCTAAGCCTAAGCCTAAGCCTAAGCCTAAGCCTAAGCCTAAGCCTAAGCCTAAGCCTAAGCCTAAGCCTAAGCCTAAGCCTAAGCCTAAGCCTAAGCCTAAGCCTAAGCCTAAGCCTAAGCCTAAGCCTAAGCCTAAGCCTAAGCCTAAGCCTAAGCCTAAGCCTAAGCCTAAGCCTAAGCCTAAGCCTAAGCCTAAGCCTAAGCCTAAGCCTAAGCCTAAGCCTAAGCCTAAGCCTAAGCCTAAGCCTAAGCCTAAGCCTAAGCCTAAGCCTAAGCCTAAGCCTAAGCCTAAGCCTAAGCCTAAGCCTAAGCCTAAGCCTAAGCCTAAGCCTAAGCCTAAGCCTAAGCCTAAGCCTAAGCCTAAGCCTAAGCCTAAGCCTAAGCCTAAGCCTAAGCCTAAGCCTAAGCCTAAGCCTAAGCCTAAGCCTAAGCCTAAGCCTAAGCCTAAGCCTAAGCCTAAGCCTAAGCCTAAGCCTAAGCCTAAGCCTAAGCCTAAGCCTAAGCCTAAGCCTAAGCCTAAGCCTAAGCCTAAGCCTAAGCCTAAGCCTAAGCCTAAGCCTAAGCCTAAGCCTAAGCCTAAGCCTAAGCCTAAGCCTAAGCCTAAGCCTAAGCCTAAGCCTAAGCCTAAGCCTAAGCCTAAGCCTAAGCCTAAGCCTAAGCCTAAGCCTAAGCCTAAGCCTAAGCCTAAGCCTAAGCCTAAGCCTAAGCCTAAGCCTAAGCCTAAGCCTAAGCCTAAGCCTAAGCCTAAGCCTAAGCCTAAGCCTAAGCCTAAGCCTAAGCCTAAGCCTAAGCCTAAGCCTAAGCCTAAGCCTAAGCCTAAGCCTAAGCCTAAGCCTAAGCCTAAGCCTAAGCCCTAAGCCTAAGCCTAAGCCTAAGCCTAAGCCTAAGCCTAAGCCTAAGCCTAAGCCTAAGCCTAAGCCTAAGCCTAAGCCTAAGCCTAAGCCTAAGCCTAAGCCTAAGCCTAAGCCTAAGCCTAAGCCTAAGCCTAAGCCTAAGCCTAAGCCTAAGCCTAAGCCTAAGCCTAAGCCTAAGCCTAAGCCTAAGCCTAAGCCTAAGCCTAAGCCTAAGCCTAAGCCTAAGCCTAAGCCTAAGCCTAAGCCTAAGCCTAAGCCTAAGCCTAAGCCTAAGCCTAAGCCTAAGCCTAAGCCTAAGCCTAAGCCTAAGCCTAAGCCTAAGCCTAAGCCTAAGCCTAAGCCTAAGCCTAAGCCTAAGCCTAAGCCTAAGCCTAAGCCTAAGCCTAAGCCTAAGCCTAAGCCTAAGCCTAAGCCTAAGCCTAAGCCTAAGCCTAAGCCTAAGCCTAAGCCTAAGCCTAAGCCTAAGCCTAAGCCTAAGCCTAAGCCTAAGCCTAAGCCTAAGCCTAAGCCTAAGCCTAAGCCTAAGCCTAAGCCTAAGCCTAAGCCTAAGCCTAAGCCTAAGCCTAAGCCTAAGCCTAAGCCTAAGCCTAAGCCTAAGCCTAAGCCTAAGCCTAAGCCTAAGCCTAAGCCTAAGCCTAAGCCTAAGCCTAAGCCTAAGCCTAAGCCTAAGCCTAAGCCTAAGCCTAAGCCTAAGCCTAAGCCTAAGCCTAAGCCTAAGCCTAAGCCTAAGCCTAAGCCTAAGCCTAAGCCTAAGCCTAAGCCTAAGCCTAAGCCTAAGCCTAAGCCTAAGCCTAAGCCTAAGCCTAAGCCTAAGCCTAAGCCTAAGCCTAAGCCTAAGCCTAAGCCTAAGCCTAAGCCTAAGCCTAAGCCTAAGCCTAAGCCTAAGCCTAAGCCTAAGCCTAAGCCTAAGCCTAAGCCTAAGCCTAAGCCTAAGCCTAAGCCTAAGCCTAAGCCTAAGCCTAAGCCTAAGCCTAAGCCTAAGCCTAAGCCTAAGCCTAAGCCTAAGCCTAAGCCTAAGCCTAAGCCTAAGCCTAAGCCTAAGCCTAAGCCTAAGCCTAAGCCTAAGCCTAAGCCTAAGCCTAAGCCTAAGCCTAAGCCTAAGCCTAAGCCTAAGCCTAAGCCTAAGCCTAAGCCTAAGCCTAAGCCTAAGCCTAAGCCTAAGCCTAAGCCTAAGCCTAAGCCTAAGCCTAAGCCTAAGCCTAAGCCTAAGCCTAAGCCTAAGCCTAAGCCTAAGCCTAAGCCTAAGCCTAAGCCTAAGCCTAAGCCTAAGCCTAAGCCTAAGCCTAAGCCTAAGCCTAAGCCTAAGCCTAAGCCTAAGCCTAAGCCTAAGCCTAAGCCTAAGCCTAAGCCTAAGCCTAAGCCTAAGCCTAAGCCTAAGCCTAAGCCTAAGCCTAAGCCTAAGCCTAAGCCTAAGCCTAAGCCTAAGCCTAAGCCTAAGCCTAAGCCTAAGCCTAAGCCTAAGCCTAAGCCTAAGCCTAAGCCTAAGCCTAAGCCTAAGCCTAAGCCTAAGCCTAAGCCTAAGCCTAAGCCTAAGCCTAAGCCTAAGCCTAAGCCTAAGCCTAAGCCTAAGCCTAAGCCTAAGCCTAAGCCTAAGCCTAAGCCTAAGCCTAAGCCTAAGCCTAAGCCTAAGCCTAAGCCTAAGCCTAAGCCTAAGCCTAAGCCTAAGCCTAAGCCTAAGCCTAAGCCTAAGCCTAAGCCTAAGCCTAAGCCTAAGCCTAAGCCTAAGCCTAAGCCTAAGCCTAAGCCTAAGCCTAAGCCTAAGCCTAAGCCTAAGCCTAAGCCTAAGCCTAAGCCTAAGCCTAAGCCTAAGCCTAAGCCTAAGCCTAAGCCTAAGCCTAAGCCTAAGCCTAAGCCTAAGCCTAAGCCTAAGCCTAAGCCTAAGCCTAAGCCTAAGCCTAAGCCTAAGCCTAAGCCTAAGCCTAAGCCTAAGCCTAAGCCTAAGCCTAAGCCTAAGCCTAAGCCTAAGCCTAAGCCTAAGCCTAAGCCTAAGCCTAAGCCTAAGCCTAAGCCTAAGCCTAAGCCTAAGCCTAAGCCTAAGCCTAAGCCTAAGCCTAAGCCTAAGCCTAAGCCTAAGCCTAAGCCTAAGCCTAAGCCTAAGCCTAAGCCTAAGCCTAAGCCTAAGCCTAAGCCTAAGCCTAAGCCTAAGCCTAAGCCTAAGCCTAAGCCTAAGCCTAAGCCTAAGCCTAAGCCTAAGCCTAAGCCTAAGCCTAAGCCTAAGCCTAAGCCTAAGCCTAAGCCTAAGCCTAAGCCTAAGCCTAAGCCTAAGCCTAAGCCTAAGCCTAAGCCTAAGCCTAAGCCTAAGCCTAAGCCTAAGCCTAAGCCTAAGCCTAAGCCTAAGCCTAAGCCTAAGCCTAAGCCTAAGCCTAAGCCTAAGCCTAAGCCTAAGCCTAAGCCTAAGCCTAAGCCTAAGCCTAAGCCTAAGCCTAAGCCTAAGCCTAAGCCTAAGCCTAAGCCTAAGCCTAAGCCTAAGCCTAAGCCTAAGCCTAAGCCTAAGCCTAAGCCTAAGCCTAAGCCTAAGCCTAAGCCTAAGCCTAAGCCTAAGCCTAAGCCTAAGCCTAAGCCTAAGCCTAAGCCTAAGCCTAAGCCTAAGCCTAAGCCTAAGCCTAAGCCTAAGCCTAAGCCTAAGCCTAAGCCTAAGCCTAAGCCTAAGCCTAAGCCTAAGCCTAAGCCTAAGCCTAAGCCTAAGCCTAAGCCTAAGCCTAAGCCTAAGCCTAAGCCTAAGCCTAAGCCTAAGCCTAAGCCTAAGCCTAAGCCTAAGCCTAAGCCTAAGCCTAAGCCTAAGCCTAAGCCTAAGCCTAAGCCTAAGCCTAAGCCTAAGCCTAAGCCTAAGCCTAAGCCTAAGCCTAAGCCTAAGCCTAAGCCTAAGCCTAAGCCTAAGCCTAAGCCTAAGCCTAAGCCTAAGCCTAAGCCTAAGCCTAAGCCTAAGCCTAAGCCTAAGCCTAAGCCTAAGCCTAAGCCTAAGCCTAAGCCTAAGCCTAAGCCTAAGCCTAAGCCTAAGCCTAAGCCTAAGCCTAAGCCTAAGCCTAAGCCTAAGCCTAAGCCTAAGCCTAAGCCTAAGCCTAAGCCTAAGCCTAAGCCTAAGCCTAAGCCTAAGCCTAAGCCTAAGCCTAAGCCTAAGCCTAAGCCTAAGCCTAAGCCTAAGCCTAAGCCTAAGCCTAAGCCTAAGCCTAAGCCTAAGCCTAAGCCTAAGCCTAAGCCTAAGCCTAAGCCTAAGCCTAAGCCTAAGCCTAAGCCTAAGCCTAAGCCTAAGCCTAAGCCTAAGCCTAAGCCTAAGCCTAAGCCTAAGCCTAAGCCTAAGCCTAAGCCTAAGCCTAAGCCTAAGCCTAAGCCTAAGCCTAAGCCTAAGCCTAAGCCTAAGCCTAAGCCTAAGCCTAAGCTCTAAGCCTAAGCCTAAGCCTAAGCCTAAGCCTAAGCCTAAGCCTAAGCCTAAGCCTAAGCCTAAGCCTAAGCCTAAGCCTAAGCCTAAGCCTAAGCCTAAGCCTAAGCCTAAGCCTAAGCCTAAGCCTAAGCCTAAGCCTAAGCCTAAGCCTAAGCCTAAGCCTAAGCCTAAGCCTAAGCCTAAGCCTAAGCCTAAGCCTAAGCCTAAGCCTAAGCCTAAGCCTAAGCCTAAGCCTAAGCCTAAGCCTAAGCCTAAGCCTAAGCCTAAGCCTAAGCCTAAGCCTAAGCCTAAGCCTAAGCCTAAGCCTAAGCCTAAGCCTAAGCCTAAGCCTAAGCCTAAGCCTAAGCCTAAGCCTAAGCCTAAGCCTAAGCCTAAGCCTAAGCCTAAGCCTAAGCCTAAGCCTAAGCCTAAGCCTAAGCCTAAGCCTAAGCCTAAGCCTAAGCCTAAGCCTAAGCCTAAGCCTAAGCCTAAGCCTAAGCCTAAGCCTAAGCCTAAGCCTAAGCCTAAGCCTAAGCCTAAGCCTAAGCCTAAGCCTAAGCCTAAGCCTAAGCCTAAGCCTAAGCCTAAGCCTAAGCCTAAGCCTAAGCCTAAGCCTAAGCCTAAGCCTAAGCCTAAGCCTAAGCCTAAGCCTAAGCCTAAGCCTAAGCCTAAGCCTAAGCCTAAGCCTAAGCCTAAGCCTAAGCCTAAGCCTAAGCCTAAGCCTAAGCCTAAGCCTAAGCCTAAGCCTAAGCCTAAGCCTAAGCCTAAGCCTAAGCCTAAGCCTAAGCCTAAGCCTAAGCCTAAGCCTAAGCCTAAGCCTAAGCCTAAGCCTAAGCCTAAGCCTAAGCCTAAGCCTAAGCCTAAGCCTAAGCCTAAGCCTAAGCCTAAGCCTAAGCCTAAGCCTAAGCCTAAGCCTAAGCCTAAGCCTAAGCCTAAGCCTAAGCCTAAGCCTAAGCCTAAGCCTAAGCCTAAGCCTAAGCCTAAGCCTAAGCCTAAGCCTAAGCCTAAGCCTAAGCCTAAGCCTAAGCCTAAGCCTAAGCCTAAGCCTAAGCCTAAGCCTAAGCCTAAGCCTAAGCCTAAGCCTAAGCCTAAGCCTAAGCCTAAGCCTAAGCCTAAGCCTAAGCCTAAGCCTAAGCCTAAGCCTAAGCCTAAGCCTAAGCCTAAGCCTAAGCCTAAGCCTAAGCCTAAGCCTAAGCCTAAGCCTAAGCCTAAGCCTAAGCCTAAGCCTAAGCCTAAGCCTAAGCCTAAGCCTAAGCCTAAGCCTAAGCCTAAGCCTAAGCCTAAGCCTAAGCCTAAGCCTAAGCCTAAGCCTAAGCCTAAGCCTAAGCCTAAGCCTAAGCCTAAGCCTAAGCCTAAGCCTAAGCCTAAGCCTAAGCCTAAGCCTAAGCCTAAGCCTAAGCCTAAGCCTAAGCCTAAGCCTAAGCCTAAGCCTAAGCCTAAGCCTAAGCCTAAGCCTAAGCCTAAGCCTAAGCCTAAGCCTAAGCCTAAGCCTAAGCCTAAGCCTAAGCCTAAGCCTAAGCCTAAGCCTAAGCCTAAGCCTAAGCCTAAGCCTAAGCCTAAGCCTAAGCCTAAGCCTAAGCCTAAGCCTAAGCCTAAGCCTAAGCCTAAGCCTAAGCCTAAGCCTAAGCCTAAGCCTAAGCCTAAGCCTAAGCCTAAGCCTAAGCCTAAGCCTAAGCCTAAGCCTAAGCCTAAGCCTAAGCCTAAGCCTAAGCCTAAGCCTAAGCCTAAGCCTAAGCCTAAGCCTAAGCCTAAGCCTAAGCCTAAGCCTAAGCCTAAGCCTAAGCCTAAGCCTAAGCCTAAGCCTAAGCCTAAGCCTAAGCCTAAGCCTAAGCCTAAGCCTAAGCCTAAGCCTAAGCCTAAGCCTAAGCCTAAGCCTAAGCCTAAGCCTAAGCCTAAGCCTAACATCCTAAAAACCTCAAGAATAACATAATATATTGATATAAACTTGTTCTGAAAGTTTTCGGCTTTTAATTTTAACTATAACTACGTATTTTGATGTAGATGTATATATACATACGAAACTTTACTTTACAGAGTAAAACTCATTGTAACATCCTAAAAACCTCAAGAATAACATAATATATTGATATAAACTTGTTTTGAAAGTTTTCGGCTTTTAATTTTAACTATAACTACGTATTTTGATGTAGATGTATATATACATACGAAACTTTACTTTACAGAGTAAAAGTCATTGTAACATCCTAAAAACCTTAAGAATAACATAATACACTTATATAAAACAATTCTGAAACTTTTGGCTTTTTATTTTAACTATAACTACGTATTTTGATGTAGATGTATATATACATACGAAACTTTACTTTACAGAGTAAAACTCAATGTAAAATTCTAAAAACCTCACGAATACCATAATACACTTATATAAAACAATTCTGCAATTTTTGGCTTTTAATTTTAACTATAACTACGTATTTTGATGTAGATGTAAGGCTTAGGCAACCGTATATTCACCCTATATAGTATAGCAGGAAATCATTTAAATTACGGCCACTCGACAATTAACGCAGCTACAGAAACAGTTGATACAGATTCTGAAAGACCATCAAATTTGGCGTTTTATTACTTAATTTAAACCTTAAAGTACTTTGAATCTTTTTGTAATGATCGACTGTATATTTTCCCTGTATACTAAAACATGAAATTACTTGATATTACTGTAAGTCGAGTAACGCAGCAAAAAGAACAGTCAATACAGATTTTAAAAGCCTGTTTCAACTGACGTTTTATTTTGATTTTTTAATTTCAACTTACTTTGCTCTACGATTGTGCAGTAGACAGTAGTTATATTTAGTACCTTATAAGTAAGTAAGTTTTACATTTAGTATACGATATTTCGTCTGCCGCATCCTGTATTACACCCCATCATAGGTTAGGGATTTCCGTATTGTAAACTTTTCGTAGAAAGGTAAACTAGACATTAGTCAAATTATATTTTAAAATTTTGCCTAAAAATAAAACTTCTTTTTCTTAGCCTAACCTATACCTAAACTTCATAGCAAAACTAAGACACATATCTTGACCTAAGATTATTAAAGATCAAATAAAGCATATATAGCCTCGTGCAAAGGATATCTGTGATCGTCACGAATGAGTTCTTTTTTATCAGTCCAAAACCCTAATTTATTATAGATTAATTTATTAAATTTATTAAGCGCACAATATAAATGCCTCACGTTACGCAGAATGTCTTTTTGCGTATCAAAAAATTGCATATAAAATAATTGTAATTCTATAATTAATTTTAATTTTGTAAAGTAATAAATTTTTAGTCAACCATGTGTCTGGCGTAGTGTTTTCCTTTGTCACTTTCAATTTGGTGATTTAAGAAATCTTCTACGGAAGTTCCACGGTTGCACAAATCAGAGTTACAAAAACATAAAATTTTAGAGTAATTACTGCCAGCATAATCCATTTCCGATGGCTTCACAAGTTGATTTGAGCATAAAGACAAAGTTGAGTAACTTCCTTCATTCTTAGACAAAAACTTTTGTATCTCTTTTAGGTCTTCTCTTTCTTCAATTTCTGATACACCGTAACGTTTGGCCATCAATGAACGAGATTTTACTGCCGGTTCAAAGATGCAAACATCATGACCAGCAATAACGTCAACATTTTTCTAAAAAATTTGAAAGTATACAGTTTTAAGCTCTGCTAATGTGTAGTATAATAAGTGAGTTATTTAACAGAAAAAACTTGTGCTATTCATAAAGCGAATTAAAAATTGCCAAACTTACATGATTGACATTACTGTCCACATAGCAATCCAAAGCACATGTTGTCACTACAAAAAATAGAATTCTTCCAATAATGGAATTGCATAAGCCTTCTTTTGTGTTTCCCATTGTTTTGTTTCTATTCAATAACCTAAAATTATTTTAAGTAACAATAAAAGTTGTAGTGAAACGCGTTTAAACAAAAGAGCATTACAAAGAATTATAAACAATTAGAACTTTTACATTGCATTGCCCAATAAAAATCATCAAGAATATAAAAAAGCGGTGTTAAAATTAAAAACAGGGCTTCCGCTTACATATTCTGAATATTTTACGTATAGAATCAAATGTTAATTATACTACCAAGAATTTAGTAGAAATAGTAAATATTTTTCCACTACAAAAGTCACATTGGCCTAATAGAGTCACACCGCGTAACACCCCTTCATTTCAAAAACTACAATATTAATAACAAATTTTTGTTATTTTAAAATTATAGTTTTAGGCAACCAAATAGGAATAATGGCTGCCGTTATGCTTCTGAATTCGTAATAGATTATCGACTTACTCTAACAACACATCTTACCATAATAACTTTTAAGCATTGAAAAAAGATTTTTCTATAGTTTTCAAAACATATCTTACCGTAAATAACAGCGTTACTCCGCACTTGCTTCTTTAAATGTAAATTAAAATTTGTATCACGAACAACATTTTAAAACAAAAAACTGGCATTTCATAAAAGCCGATTAGCATTATCCGCACGAACGGACGACAAATTACTCACACAAATTGAAATATGTTATGAAAACATTGAAAAATAAAAAAATATACAGTGCATTAATTATTATAAAATAACTTGTTTACTCCATTTTTAAACTTTTAAAATCGTCACAAAACCATTGAAGAACGAAAGATGCAATCCGTATTATGTAAAAAATTTTAATTTTCAGTAATATTTACAAGATTGTTACAGTCAGATAAATGCGTAAAACCGGTGTTTGTAAATGTGAACATCTGTTTAAATACGTTATTATAGAATTACCTATGTACAAAACTACAAAATAAGACAAGATATGTGCGCAAGCGTTTACAATGTAATATGAAAAATTAATATCCTTTGCATTAACAGGCCATCGGCTCCGAACTTAAAAAAAACTAGAAAAAAGTATTATATAAAAAGTGACAAATTAATGTTTAGACGAAACATAGTACAATAAAAATGAATTGTAAGCTTCGAAAAGTTAGACACAACAAAATAATTCATGAAAAAAATTACAATACAGAGAGCTAGTAAAAGAAGTCCGTTTAGACAAAAAAGAATACATAAGTAACTTGCCAATTAGGTTTTGCAAAACGTTAAAAAATAGTAAAAATAAATTTAAAAATAGTAAAAAAATTAGTTAGTGCAGGCAGTTTCTACGGCATCACGAACGGTGGGAAAGAAATGGTCCTTTGGTACTATTTGGAAAAAGCCGGCTCTAGTTAGAGAATCAATTACAAGGTCTGAAAAAAAATTATCTATAACAGCCAAAACCGTGAAAAAAGTAAGTAGTAAGTATTGTTTTACCTTTAGGTGTCTTAACCATTTGCTTTAATAAAAAAACGTACTCATACTAGATACAAAAAAGGAAAATCGCAATATTTCGAAAAAATAAACTTGTGTGACATTTCCTTTAATAAACTTATCAGACAGATAATTCCGTATTCTTCCGGAATCTGTAATTATTAGGATGAACCAAAAAGAACCGGTCATATTCCTCAAATTCAAAAAAAAATTTTTAACCTGTAACAACATTTTTATTAGAAAATGGTTACATACATAAAATTTACAAGGCGTTTCGCAATTTTTTGGTATTCATTAAAATACTTTCATGAAGCAGACTGACGATAAAAAAAGGCAACAGTCTCACCACCCAGTTGTAAAGGGGCTTTTTAATTTTTTTTTCTTTTTTATAGTTGGCTGCTAACTAAAAGTAATAGTAGTTAGTTAGTAAGGTTCATCCTAATAACTACCGCTTCATTTAATTTTAATTCTAGAATATTAAGCTTCAATTAGGCGATAATCCACCGTGACATTAAGCTTTAGAAATATGCCAAAATTTTTCAATAAATATAAATATGCTCACCCGAAAAATCAGCAAAAAACACTCTAACATCGACTTTTTTGGCGTCTTTGAAGCAGTCCACCAAGGCTTCAATTCCCATCGAATCTACATATGCTATTGCTCCACCGTCCAAAATTAATGTATTGAATGGTCTTTGACTTTGTAATGCAACCTAAAAAACAAAAACCTGTATTTAATAAATAATTTATCCTTTTATGGTCAACAACAAAAGTACCGAACCTGCAATTCTCAGATTTAGCTCAAAACTTTTATACAGATTCTTTGTAGTACCAGTAACACATTTTTAAAAAATCTCAACTCGCGGATTTAAGTTTTAAAATTAATATATTTAAATTTCCAGTCAATTTGACATTGTGTTGCAAACACTTTTTTTGATATTCCAGATAATTTTTACGAATTTAAAATTTCAGGTTCATTTGACGCTTTCCTATTATTACATTTAAAAAAATAGTTAAAATTCAAAAAATAAGAAAGTTAAAAGCTTGAAACACTATGCCAATTTAATAGGAAATTAAAAATGCGATTTTTTGATCTCGATTTTCTCAAGTCTGGCTGCAAACCGCAACTTAGAATTTGCGTAAGATCTTACATTTACATAATCTTTCAATTCAAAAAATTTGAACAAAATCTAAGCGTTGCAGGTCGCGAACTTTCTTTGTAAGTTTAATACAGTAGAACCTCGTTAATAAAATAAAACTCCGTTTACAACGAAACCCTTGTTATAACATTTTTAAACTCCCTTAAAAAAATTTTGCACTGTTTCTTAACTTACAGAACTCCGAATATAACTAAACCCCGCTATAGCAAACAATTTTTCAATTTCTTCTTGATTCGTTATATCGGGAGTTCACTGTAGTAGAAACTATTCAATGACAGAAAGACGTTTAAACCAATAACAACGCACAATGAAATTTTTTTTATTTTTTCCTTAATCAATACTTTAAATCTTTAATAAATCAGCATTAACTTCTAACAATAAACCATGAATATATTTTACCTTTTCATTTTTGTTATCTACTTCAACAGCAGCTGGAGGATTAGTCGCCACTTGAACAAAGTAATCGTTAACAAAATCAATCAATTTTTCAACGTTTGCAAAGTGTAACGGACATCCAAAACGCAAAACTTTCACTCCATCAGTTTCTCCGGTTGACAATAAACCTTGATACTTTCCAGCCGGTTTGAAAACGTCGTGTTCTTCGGTTGACGCTAGCCAGTCAAGTTGAGGCCATTGCTCGCGAAGAACCAATGTCATAATGACAAAAGCAACTGAAATAGCTAAACCTAATGTGACGTCAAGAAGAATTGTTGTCGAGCAAGCCACTATCCAAGTTATCTAAAATTTAAAAATATATTACCTCCGTTATCCCACAGTATAAATTCAATTATTTAAATCATGTAACATTGCTATATTTAAAAACTTACGCAATCAATCCTTGAAAGTTTCCACAGCTTTGGGATGTCGGCAAATTGCTTGAACAAAGACTTAAGTGATACCATGACAATAGCAGCTAGTACAGCCATAGGTAGTGGTTCCAACAAATGACCAATAAACATAATTACAAAAAATAACAAAGTAGAAGTAAAAATAGCATTAAGTTGAGTCCGAGCACCAGCTAATTCACACAGTGAAGACCTAAAACACAATTTTTATATTTTTTACAAAAAAAATAAACCATCAATCTTAGCTGGAAATTCTAAAAAAACTTAAAATAAATTCATAGTATCCAAGGACGTCGTTTGGGGGTGGTTCGGGGTGACTCCCCCCCCGTAGAGCCGATCCGAAAAAAAATCCACAGGTAGGTACCTGTACGCGGAAAAACGAAAAAAAAATTTTTGAAAAATCGGTCCACAGGTAGCTAGCTACCCCCCCCCCCCCCACAGAAAAACCGTAGCGACGCCCCTGATAGTATCAATAAAGATGGTAAACCTACCTTGATAATGATGCACCAACCGGGTATACCGGAAAGCAAGAAGCAATTGCATGCACAATACCCAAAGCGTGCAGTTCTTGGTTAGCATCAACCTTGTACTTGTGCTTCTTAGCAAACAGTTTAGCCATAGAAAAGGCAAACATAAAGCAAATAATAGAAATCGAGATAATATCTGGTATGATATGCGGAATAATCGATAAATTTGGCAAGGCAAACGGCGGTAATCTAAACATTTTCTTCATATTGAAATTTTTTTTATAAAAAACTAAAAATTTTTTGTTATCCAAAATTACAGTGAAACCTCGTTAATAGGAGACCGCTTAAAACAAAACCCCCGTTATAGCGAATAATCTTTTAATCCCCTTGCGATTTATTAAATCGGGAGTTCACTGTAACACTACGGCGAAACCTTCACTACAACCATCCAATACCACTTTAAAAATTAAAGGAAAACTAAATAAAAAGGCCTTACCCATTAGGAACGTGTTTAACAATAGAAACCTTAAAGTTTTCATTCAATCCAATAAATTGTGATACCATAATAGTCACAATAACCAATATCAATTCAAATGGAATTGGAAGTTTGAACCTTTGTTGAAATGGCGGATTCAAATAGTCTCTTCCCAGCCATAAAAACGCAGACCCAGCTAAAGCAATTGAAAACGTAACCCAATTAATCCTTGGTATAGCTAAAATACAATGAACGACTTTCTTAACAAGTTCTCCAATGCCTGGGGTTGCTGGTATCTTGACACCCATGGCTTTCGGCACTTGGCTCATAAATACATGCATCGCTGCACCTGTAGTAAAACCAGAAACCAATGGATCAGATATATACTTGGTCAAAAAAGCCAGTCGGAACAGCCCCATTGTCAATTGAGCCACACCAACACCCAATGTTAACGTAGAAGTAAAAGCCAAAGGGCTAATTTCAACTCCAAATTTTGTCATCTGAGGATCCCAAGCTGTCAGATTACCATTATTATGCTCAAATTGTACTATTTGCGCATTTCCAACCATCATTGAAGCGACTGCAAACGTTCCTACAGATATATGTTTTGAAGTCCCAAAGAACATGTATATGACAATAGCAATAAAGTTGGCGTACAAACCAACTACAGGCGGAACGTTGGCCAAACTCGCATACGCCATACCTGAAAAAACCTATTTTTAAACCTTTTTGAACCATTTTATGTTAAAACATGTACCAACTTGTTAAAATAAATACACAGAAAAAAGCAAAAAATACCATTTTACAAACTAACATAATTGAAACTATTTAAACGTGCTTTAAACAGAATCCAATTTTACATTGTTTTGACAACGTGTCACATAAAGTTCTTTTATAAATCCATCAAACACAAAAATCATTGATTAATTAATTATATTAACTTTAATTAAAATAACTTCATAATTAAAACAAGCTAAATAACAAAAATCAACAAATCTTATAAACTAAAAACGTAAAAAAAGTTAAAAATGACATTATTAACGTGAAAGCTCTTCAAAACCCTAACCAAAAAATAAAAAACAATAACTAAAATAGTAAAAACTATTCCTGACAATATGCTGCACGTTTTGCGTCCAACTTTGAGCAAATCAATGTCTACTTACCTTGTGGCACAACCATTATTCCGACTGTGACACCAGCAATCAAATCACTGAGAAAATCTTCTTTCCATCGATAATTTGGTAACCATTCCAAAATCGGCAGCAACGACGACACAAATTTGAACAAAACACGGGGCTGTATAGATTCCCCGGCCTTGGCCATGGCCTTTTTAGCAGCCGACTCCTTGGATTCCTCCACGCGGCCGTAGCGCGCCTCAAATTTTGCCTGAAAACGTTATAAAATTAGATGGTTTACAATAAGTATTGCTATTAAAAGCACAAGATGACAAACAAGAAACTGAGTAGAGCAGTTTTGACTCTTTCTTTGTCCTAAACCTCAAAATTTCAAGCGAAAAAAAAGAAAAATTTCGCAAAATCTACGGTTTTCAGAACTTACAGAAAATGCGTCAGGGTGACATACAGTCTTTAAAGAACATTGCTTAAACTAAATTTGTGGAAACGTTTTAATAGTAATATGAACTTACAAAAAAATATGGAAAAAATTTTTCTTGTATACATTTTTGTTTATGCGGCTAATATCACTTCCACTGCTAGGGATCGGCACAAAATAAAAATCGGTTTTACTAGTGCTATATATCGTTTTAATAAGCAACAAATTCTAAGATATAAAGCAAAAAAATCATCCGCCAATAATCTTTGGAAAAAAGTTTAAGTCCTTCAAAGATATTTTCACAGTATGTGAAAGTGTACAATTAAACAAAAAGATTCAAAAACCAATTTTACGATGTGAAAGAGGGGTTTGAAAAACGATTTTATCAGTTTTTGACAAACCGATCAAAATATACGACGATTTACTTTTCCACTGGCACAGTAATTTGGTAATGACTTAAAAACTAGTAGTATTATATAAAAAACAATTTTGCAATTTCTTCTGTTATTAAATACTTTTTGAACTTTACGACTGATTTTTCGATTTTATAGGTGAAACGTTCAAATAAGTACCGTGGAGAATTTTTTGGGATACTGAAAATTTTTCCTACAGGTTGGCAGCTAATTTTACCAGCATATAAGGGTTATTGGATGATCAAAACGACATATATCATTAGTGTAAACCTGATTTCCATAAAAAAATAATAAAATTTAATTTTTACTTTATATTCAAAACAGACATTTTAAACTTATCATAGACAATGAGTACATTATTACTTTGAGTTAGCGCCTCTATCTACCATACTGCTAAAGGTCGTTTAAGCCCAACAAAATAATTAGCTAAGTAAGCCAAAGAGTGAATTTGCTTAATAGTAAGTGAGCCAAAACTAAAAGACAATTGAGAAAAAACGATAAGTTTCCAAAGACGGAAGAAACCCATAAAAACAATAAAAACCATGAACATAAACTGAATAATAAAATCTGTTTTTATATCGTCTTTGAGGTTGCGTTAGTCATAGTTCTGAATCTTCACTCCAGGACAATATATTTTTTGTTCTTTGTAATAAGGTTTACTATAAAGTGATAAAGGATTGCATAGAATTAAAAAATCTTTTCTTTTAAACGGTCAGCTTTAAAAAGTTTTGTTGTTCTTTATGCAGTATTTTGACAGACAGCCGAACGAAGGAATTTAAATAGACATCTGATTTCCAAAAGTACAACCGCTTTTTCTAAAACTTTCTCCGCGCTATAAACGTGTCGCTCGTAAAAATCCAAAAAAAGTGATGTTTAGTTTAAAAAACAAAACCAATCCTAAACAAATAAAAACGCAAATAAAAGTCAGTTACGTTAATTTAATTTGAATATTTTTTTGCTTTGGCGGGAATTTAAGTTACCACAAAAACGTAAATGGGCCTCGTGACACATATGAACATACAAACAGGAACGTCGTGTGGTAAAAAGATGTAAAAGCTTTTTTTTGCCACAGAAGTTCTTTGGCAATATTTTTTATAAAAAAAGTTATTAAGAATTAAAATACAGTGAAAACTCGCTAATAAGACTCCGTTTACAACAAAAGTTATAACGATTTTTTAAAGATCGTGAACAAACATTTTGTCCTGATTCCTAAGTAAAAGAGCTCCCGAAATAACGAAATCCCGCTATAGCGAACGATTTTTCACTCCCCTTGATGCGTTATATCGAGAGATCCCTGTTTAATAAAAAAAATTATTGTTTTGCAAAATACGTAAATCAGAAAAAAATAATGCAAACAGTACTTTGCAGGCATCAAGAAAGTACACAAAGACATCAGAAACCTACCATTTTACCGTGTTATCTTTTTGGAAGAAATAGGTAGATTTACTGCTCCATTTCTTTTCGCGACTATTTGATTACTATTCTAAGAAGCAAACCAAATTAACTACCATGACAATACGCGTACACGCAAAATTGATAAACATTGAAAAAATGGCGTAATAAAATTGTGACATTTTTTTCCTTATATAAATTTTTCAATTTTTCAACTTTATGCAAGTACGCCTAAAAATAGAAAAGTTGCAGATTCAAGGCGCACACAATAAAATTTTATAATTTTTCGTGTAAATTAAGAAATTGGAGGAAAAAAGAGCTACGTAGACATAAAACGAAGAAATAAACGAATTCTGGTTTCAACGAAGAACACATACATATATTACATGTGCGAAAGAAACGTTTTGTTTGGTCATTTTTAAGCTAATATCTACGCGTAAAATTACTTTTTTTACGTTATTTTAGTGTTCAAAATGCGAAAATATTTAGTGAAATTCAGGCTATACGAAACACAAGTTTTTGGCTGCAAAATAAGCTTTTTTTATTTTTCATTTAAAAACGTTTTGACATTCCTGCACTAATTTGTGGTCAAGAATAAAAAGCATAAATTCAACCTTTACCCTCACAAAAAAGCTTTAGGACAAATATGTAAGCATGTCGATATCTGCCAAACAAATTTCTTTTTCTTTTTAAGCCGGCTGGTCCCAACGAGTGGACAGGAAGAGAGATTCCGATATTCCTTCCCGACACGCTTTAAAAAAGAAAAAAAGACTTTTTTGTCAAGAGTGACCATTGAACTAATTACAGTTCTCAATATAACTTATACGCAAGCGTTACTGTTCTTTATTTTACAAAAACAAGTTAGGTAAAGTACGACACAGAAGTTCTCTGATAGATAGGTTCTTTGTCCTATTTTTTACAAAAATCAATAAAGAAACAATAGTAACATTTTTAAAGGATTAAAGGCACTCTTCAATAAGTATAACATATTAAGCAATAGATTGAGACCCGAATACCGGTAAAATAATCATTGTTTTAAATGAGAATTGCAGATTTAAAATAATTTTCAACTCTTTTTAAAGTTCAAACGGCACAATGAGGTAATTAAATAAGTGGCCGATCAAAGAAATAAATGAGATAAATTTGGTGAAAGCTAGTGCCGGGAACACAAAAAAAAGACATTTAATAAGATGTATAAGTATTTTTAAATATAAATTGTTTCTTGAATGTGTATCTCCAAAACAAAAAATGAACAAAATTTTAAAATAAACATACGAAATTACAAAATCTTACAAAATGATAAATGTAATGACATAGAGTAATTTACAAAAAATTAAATCCTTTTGCGTTAAAAATTTTATTTATAAAAATATGCATAAGTATGTTACCTACCTGATCTAGTACCGGGGCTGTTTTCACCATCGTGTAAAAATTATACACTTAATGTAAAATGCAGCTATAATTTAAAAAGTGAACACCAAACTATGCTTGTACTTTTAAATACGTATCTTATAATTCCAACGATTTAGATATGTATTAAGTACTGTGTTATAAGAAGCAATATTTGACGATAAAAGCAGATATAACTTTGAATGTGACCCGGTTTAGTGAGCTGAAACAGATCTACAATGTCGGTTGGTTCGCTTTTTATTGTTGTATTATAAGTCTGTACCTGGCATCTGAAAAAAATGCAAAAAGATAAGTTTTCTATAAAAGCACGGCCGCATAATACGCTAAAATGCATCGTAAAATCGTAGAAAAAGCAATTAAAACCTGAGTTAAAGTTTTTTTAGGTTTAAAATTACACCTCTTTATTAATAAAGTTTAAGGTTTTGATATAATATAGTATGACCCCTGTTCCGAGAGACCAGCTTTGGTGTAAGGCAGGCGGGGGTTAACAAAATATGCATCTGATTTTTTTTCCGGTAATCAAACAAGTCTACTCACCTCCCAGCGCCTGGCCTTGAACGAAAACACAATATTTAAACAAATTTATCATTTTACGAGTAATAGCCTACTAATACCTAAATTTGCTACTTCATAAAGTATAACCATTTTTGTTTTCTAAAGCGATATGGAAAGGTGAACAAATATTATAAGTAACATTTCTTATCGTTTTTAATATCGGAGAACAGTAGCGGATTAAAATGCTATCTTACATTGTGAAAAGCACAAGAGTTGGTTACAATACTCAAAATAATTTTTTCCGTAAAAAAAAAAAATAAATGATAACAAAAAAAAGACAGGTTGAACAAGTGTACACACAGCGGTAGCATATTTAAAAAATACGAAAATACGTATTGAATAATCCGCAATTTCCTAAAAACGTTACAAAATATATTGTAAATAAAAAAATAGTTTGTGTAAAAAGAAAGAAGTGGCTTGTTTCAATCTCTGTATTATTATAGAAACCTATGACCTATGTTTTTATATCTTTGTAACTTTTTAAAACAGACAAATTTTATCAAAAACAAAAACAATAAATTCTTTGAATTATTTGAACAGTTATTTGTTTGGATGTGGCATAAAAAATAAACCTAAAAACTGCAATATCACCACTTAAATTTTTTTAAATTTTTCAACGTTAATTTAAAGAAAGAAAACATATTGCAAGGTTAACAAGGGAAGTATCCGACCTGCCCCGCTCTGATTCACTTCAAACTTTTAATAAAAAAAGATTATGTAAATGTAAGATTTTATGCAAAATACTAAATCGCGCTTTCCAGGAAATCTCGAGAAAATCGTAATCAAAAAATCGCGTTTTGAATTTCCCGCCAAATTGGCATTGTGTTTCAGACTTATAGTAGGGGTGAAAAAAGGGCCGGGCCGGGCATACTTTTAAGGCCAGGCCCAGGCCCGGGGCCCAACGTTTAGGCCCGGCCCGTTTTCAATTTTCTCTCAGCCCGGCCCGGCCCGTTTTAAAAAATTTTAAAAATTTTAAAACTTAAAAAATAAACGAAAATTTGGCTTTGCATTGTTCTTTTAGATCATTTATGTATCATGGTACCCAATAAAATCAAAAAACGTCAACGGGGAATAAAATAAAAAATTTTAAAAAATTAAAAAATTTTTTTTTGGGGCCGGGCCTAACCTTTGGGCCCGGCCCGTTTCAATTTTAGCTCAAGGCCGGCCCGTTTCTCACCCCTAACGGGGGGGTATCCCCCCCCTTCCCAGAAAAAAATTTTCGAAAAAATTTGAACGTGGTCCCCCCTGTGGATTTTTGGACCCCTGCCCCCAGACCAAAAGTCTCCGCCCGGCCCTGGTGGGAAACCCAAATATTTTAAATTTAAAACCCAAAAGCGTGAGCTAAATTTTTTACAGTTTAACAAGGAATTTATATAAAAATTTTGAGCTGTTTCTGAGCGGGGCAGGTAGGGTAATTTCCTTGTGGCGGCAAAAAAAATGGGACAGGTTTTTTCGAAAAATTTTAAAAAATATTCAAGACTTAAATTTAAAAAATTTTTTAGCTTGAATATGTTAAGCTTACCCTACATTTCCATAATAGATAGTTACAAATTTATAAACGTTCGAAAAAAATTTAAAATTGACGAAAAACCGACTGTCCCATTTTTTCTTGCTGCCACTGTAAGTAACGGGATTTCAAAGATAAAATAAAATGAAACAAACCCTTAAAAGGAATTTATAAAATTTTAAGAAAACATGAAAACAAATTTATTTTCTTGTTAACGATTATTGATAGTTAAGACAACTTTTCAATGTATAAGGCAACGTTTTTTGGAGAGTTTAGCATATATTTTAACCAATCCCGAATTGTCCTGGATCCCGAATTATCCGAAGACGAATATGAGAAAACATTTTAAGGTATTGATAACTTAAATTGCCGTCAAACTAAAGCTACCATTTTCAGATTAAGTTGGCTTTGACGTGTTTTTGATCAAAACAAACACTTCTTGAATAACTATACGCCTACTGAGTAAACATTTCAAAAGCAGACGGTTTACCGATTACTAACAACCTAACAGACATTCCAACAAACTTTTTTCGTTTTTAAAATTTAAATAAAAGACATTTTTTATCTATATAACATTAAATTAAATAGATTATAATCATGATTACGCAATAAATGTTAACTAAAAGTTTTCTAATACAAAACGGAAAATAAAAAGGTAACTCGGAAGAACATCGACTTTTATACCCCTTTTCAACGGAAATAAACTCTTACCTTTGGTTGGGTGATCGATGGAAGTTCACGGTGAAAAGTCGAGAAACATTGCCCTTCGCTTTAGAATTGATCAAAACATTGAGAAATTGCAATAATTTAATTGGAAACGCAATGGTCCGCAAAAATTCTTCATCGTATACTGTGTAAGATGTTTCGAAGTAAAATTTGGCTGTCAAAATGTTCAATTATATTAATTTGTTAAGAAATAAGGCTTTAACTTTGTTTGCTTTAAGTTCTTGTGAAAAAGATACAACTACGATTTTGGTTAAAGGACCTTTTCGATCCACCTTTGATGATTAATGGTAATATTGTCGAAATATCTTTAAAAAAACGTTTTAAAACTGTAATAAAACGTTTTTAATATCAATAAATCAATATTAGAGATCAAGCAACCTTATTTGTAAACAAACATATATAATCCGGTTCTTTTATTTTTCCTTTTTATATTTTTTACTTTTTCAAGTAAACGCTTATGTATGTTAATGAATAATATTTTGTAAAGGAATAATCATGAAAAAGGTTATTTTTTTAATTTCTTTATGGCTTATTATGTGTAATCTTTTTTTGGCTGGTTCATTACAAGACGATAAAGGCATGCTTTTTTAGTTGAAGTTAGGGAACACTTTAAATAAAATCTTCGAAAATTCTAAAAATAGAATTAGTATATTTTAATCTTTAATAATAAGTTAAAAAAGGCAAAGTAATTATATATTTAGCAATTCAAGAACAAAAAGTAGCGTCATCTGGTTTAGAGAAAATGTGGACAAAACTGACACAAAACCAAAAGGATTCTGTTTGTAATCGGAAATTAGACGACAGAATAGCACTACCT